AGAATGAGGCAGTCTGAATTCTGCCAGATTGATATCAATGTCAGAGGACGATTGCCAGCAACACCCACCGTAACAGCTTGGGAAGACGCTTGAATGAAAGGAGTACTTGGGGTAGTTTGGGCAAATGCCAAGAGAAAGCCACCAGAAAGGAGAATCGGTAACCGGACAAGAGTAAACCAAAGGGCCATGACGTTGTTATCAGCTAAGAACGAGACTAGAGACGAATAAATGGCAAGATGGGAAAGAAGGGGTATATAGGGACACGGATGATGGGAGACAAGACGCAATCGAAGCACTGTACATGTGATGCGAAACAGGAAGGTAGAACGGGAAATACAATCAGAAACCGCAAAAACCAGATGTTAGAGCACAATCGCGATTATCCATGACGCCAGCCCTTGCGTATGGTCAGCCAATATGACAAATCAGATACCATGTATCAACAAAAAAGACGGAAATGATCGAAAGATAGACAAGCAGATATGAACAAGATGCCGTAGAAGGCACATCGCCCTCCTTTAATGGTGTGAAGGCTTAAAGATATCATTGGATGATACAACGACATCCAGGACTGCGTTCACTGGCCTCACGTTCCCTGCTATACGGAGCTTTGGCTGCCTTGGCGTCTTCTTCGTCGACAATTTCTTGAGGCTTGACTGTCATATGTACCACGTTGGGAGCATCTTTGTTGAACTTGCAGTCTGAGACGCACAACATCAGCTGAAAGTCTAGAGCAGTGTTTACGTAGCTTCGTTGCCTACCTGATAAAGGGGACTTGTCGTCTAGCAACTTGCCAAACGAAATCAATCGGATAGAGCTTGGAGAGGTTGGTTGCGACTCCCAGTCTGTCAAACACGTAAAATCATCAGCACACGGTTCGGCCTTCTTATCCTGCGTTGCGCGGTGGACGCCGACAGCTCCGCTCCTACCTTGTCTCCATTCCTTCCAGATCAGTTCCTTCAGTGTGTATACACTCATAGCAAACGGATCGTTACTCTCGACGTTGATACCCCGCTTTCGTAAATATTTCCCATCGATCTCGAAAGGATGACGAGATCCTGTTGTTAAAAGGAGTGTGATGGTCAACGACGGGCCGGAACCCTCCACTTCCTTCGCGGCGGCGTCTGATGCGTCTGATAATGGCTCAGGGACTGGCGTATCAGTCGTATCTAGTCCTGTAGTATCTGGGGGTTTGTCATTTGTTGCAGAAGCGTCGCTGATGCTCTGCTCGGCGGTGATAATCGGTGTACTGCTATCGTGGACACCAGCGGCTTGGGTGGTGTCCGTATTATCATTTTTCTGGGTGTTCTCGGTCTCGCTCTGGGGAGCAGGAACAGCGGCGTTTTGGACAGGTTCCAAGGAAGAAACTGCGGAAGTTTGCGATTGTTGCTGCGGTTCTTGAGGGGATTCGAGCGTTGCAGAGGGAGCTTCGTCCTTGATCCCCGGTGATGCAATGTCCGACGGCGGAGGGTGAGGGTCGTTAGAAGACATCTCGAGTGCGTTTCAAACCGCAGTTCACGATCGATTCGTGGGGTTAAAGTAGAAGTGAGAGAATAGCAACGTCAAAGAAAGAGGTGAGAAACGATTGGATGTGCCTTCCGCGGACTTAGGACAGGGTCCTCGAAGGGGGCGACGGCTGGTGAGAGGGTCGCTTTAAACGAGGCGTGGGAGGGAGGCAACCGACGAATACATCCAAGAACTCGCAACTGAAAAATACAAAGAAGAAGCAGAGATATCAATAGATAAATAAGAAAAAATGGAATTATGGTGGTGCAACAGAGCACTTGCGTAAAGGAGGAGACGTAAAGGAGGAATCACAGAGGTGGAGTCGTAGGTGTTGGAGGACTACTTGGTAGTAGTCTCAGTAACAGGACAGACGAGTCAGGCAAGGATCAGGAGGGGAAAGGCAAACTAGAGCACGCAAAAATGGTCAGAGAATTGATAGCACCAGGACAACTGGGTGATGGGTAGCCAAATCTCTAGTTCAACTAGGAGTTGGTGCTTTGACTCTTGGTTTGATTGTTGGTCTGGCCCACGGTCGCAACCGCAATTTGCCCCCTCTGAAACTCCCTAAAACAGAGGGTGACAGATGTTTCCCAGAGTAGGTAACGACAGTCAAATTTCAAACAAATTATCAATAATTACAATGCAGAGTGCGCCACAGACTATGAAAAGTGAATTCGACCTTCAAATTTTTACCAATGAGCCTATTTTTATTCTTCCGTTTGTCGTTACAAACAACTGACTACTTCATCTTTTGCGCGCAGGTATAATCCAGTCATCGCCGCTGATCATGGTCGCATGCGGAGAAGCAATGTGATCTGCTCCCGGAAGTCGAGGCTCATGCTAGCAAGGTAGCGAGTAGATATATGCAGAGTAACATAGAAGCGTTTGCACTTGCCTAGGCTTACCTCGCAATCCTTGCATTGCATAAGGACCCCTCAACTTCGTCGGGGTAAAAGCGTCATCCGGATAGGGGACCCACGGGTATCTCCACAATTGATCTCTGATGGAGACGACCGACTAAGAGAGCATCAAATAGTATTTCCATCTGAGTACACCTTTTGACTGAGGCTCTCCAGGACTCTGCGAAGCCCCTTTACCTGAGAATTACTCCGTGTACCTCCGTCATTTGCTTCTGTATACCAACTGCGATCTGGCGTAGGCGTGCATGAATATGCGTAAAGCACCACGGCCCTCTCCACTATGCCTACAATGCCTCCTGCGTCTACTACAGCACCTATATCGGCTGTTATAATTGACGGGCGAGGGAGCTCATGAAACTCAGGCATACTTAAGGAACTGTGGTGCACAGTTATATGCAATATATGTATTAAGTGCAAACTTGCCCGCTTTGCGACATGGATGCATGCGAGGATGGATGGCAAGAGCTTATTGGGATGTCGCTTGGACAATCCTACTATGATTTGTGATTCTCCGGCTTCCAACATCTCTATAGAGAGCAAGCCTTGAGCCGTACCTCGTTGTATGAGCAATACACGAGGACAGATCTTGACGAGATATCAGCTGTCCCTTCTTCCATTGTCCATGTGTCAACACGACTCGACGAATGCTTTCCTCGATCTGTTTTGTATAATTTGATCGACCGTCGCTAGAAGTCGTTCCTCAACTCGCGAAGACTGTGGGTTCGTTCTCTGGGCAGTTCGAAATTTCAAGTATCTTGCACCTCGATAAGGATGGCCATTTTGTTGAAGCCATGCGTCACTGTATCTAACGGTTCTCTGTCTGTTGTTGTACTCGCATATGCCATTATCTCGACGGTAAAAAACAAATTTCTGGCTTCTGTCTCTCTCTTTCAGAGGTTAGCTCTCAATGTCAGGGATCTTGAATGCAACAGGAGTTATCAACACATGTAATTCATTGAACCAGGAGACTGTACGGACTTTCAAAGCCTGATATTTTGCCTATGAGTAGTAGTGTGCGGCACAAGTTTGGGCCCTGGATATGCACAACGCGGTTGGAAACTTTCAATAACATCTCAACGTAAATATCATGTAGATTGTCGAAGACTTGAGAATAAATATCACCTGTCATTATGCGACGAGTTGTCAGTTTTGGTGCTCTGTATATCGAGGATTCGCTCATATCTGCTTGTTCAATAGTCCCAGGAACTCTGTTCGTCGCTTCTTCTAAAATGGTGACATTCACTATTGAAGGTCTTAGCATCTATCTGAACAGAGCGGGAAGTTATTTTTATCTGGTAGCAGTTGTCTCGAGGCTCTTCTTGGTTGAATACTTCGTTGTGGTCGATTGGTGTTCCGGGATAACCTTGACTGCATCACAATCATGAGGATATCAAGATGACTACCAAGCCATAAACTACTGCAGAGAGACAGCCCTGATAGAGAGGAACATAACATCTCATAAACATTGCAGGTGATCATGCCTTGGAAACCGAGATCACAACAAGCTGGACAAATAATATTTGGACATTGTTACGAAGTCTAGGACTTGAAGCCAAACAGGTCTCGCGGAAAATGCCTGAGGCTCAAGCGAAAATTGCTCTTCTGACCCCCTTAGTTTGCAGCTAACCAACGAAAGGGCGCAAAAAAGTCTCAAAAATCGAGAAGCTCCTGGATGCCGTGGTCTGTCAAAACCTGCCACCGAAGTTCTATGATTTAAGTCCTATTATCAAGGTCCACCCTCCGATTACAAGGATAAGGAGGTATGGGGTCCAAAACTACCTTTGCTCAGCAGACGTAAAGATAAGACCTCTTGGAATCTTATGGTTTGAATACAATGTGGTCCGAGCGGCTAGCGCTAAATACCCCACAATTCGGCAGGCTTGCCGGCCTTGCCCGCACCTGGGGAGAGCTAGATATCCCTTATCACTACAGCCTCCTCCCTTAATCATGAATTCTTGTATAACTTCCTTATAATTATGTATCATAGTATAGTTTCACATCCTTTGTAAGATATACTAGTTATGGCCTATTCAATGTACAGGAGAATAGATTGTTCACATGGGTTCATTCACTCTGCACCTAATGGCGACATCAGTCATCTAGGTACAAAAGCGAGTTTTTACTTGTTTATGCTGGCAGTGGCTCATGATTTGCGATTATCAAATCAAACGATGCGATGTCACCTGCACACTAATAACCTGCTCTTTTTCTCCTTTCATTTCTCAGTAGAGGCATGACCTTCTTTCTGCGCGTTCCTCGGTACTACAAAGCAATATTCCCACGGCTCTGCCAATCGATCGCTCCAAATAAGCTCTCCGGGATAGCCTTTCCATGGTACCAAGCTCACGGTTGCACAGTACAGGGTAAGTTCTACAATTCTCAACTGTCATTTGATGTAATATTTTGCAGTTTACTCCGAATCGGAGGATAACTGGAAGCAACACTGACGTTGGTCATGTGTTCAAGGGATTCAGAACCATCACTTTAGGACTTCGAAGATTTCTGCCTTGAAGGATCTTCAAAAGCTCACATTACGAGCAAGCTCATTTGTTCTTCCTCTCCTTCAACGGCGAGATGGAGTCAGCAATTGATATGTACTGGTTCCACAATGACACTCCTACTGTCGTGACTCAGATACTTCGCGACTTGGACAAGAAGAGGAAACTGGCTATTGTATTGGAACTGACTGAGCCTGCCTTTTTCCTGCCCGAGGCCACGGGTAACAGGCCTGTTGTGCTTCGGGGCCGCTGCACATTGCTTGTAAAACGGCCGCTGAAAATCAAACAGGTTGTGGTGGCCCTGGACGGGTTTTCGTATATCAGATGGCCCAATCGTAAGAACTGACATTAGCCACTCCCTTATACCCCATGCTGGCTGTGCTGACTAACATCAACTCTTGGGACAGGAGTTCGCGAAATGGGAAGCGTTGTCAATTGTGCTTTGACACTATTTAATTCGAAGAAGGACTCCAAGGCTCAGTTCCAGTATCAGGTGAAAGAGCCTGAGAAACCCATCACAGGTGTCACGGAAGTTGAAATGTCGAAGAAGAAATTCAACAAGCTTCGCGAAGTGGTTTACAAGCTCCATCTGCGTTCCACAAAATCCGTCCCGGAGCTCAAGCCCGAATGTTTTTCACCTGGAAAGTACTCTTATGATTTCGAAATGATACTGCATTCTGGCCTGCCGGAATCTACATTCGTTGAGGGAACGATAGTTCGCTACCATCTCAAAGCCAGCGTCAAGTGTCACTCCATGCTCCGGGGGATGTACAAATCGACCGAGGTCGACGCTGTTCGCTGCCCTGCCGATGCCTACGTCGAAGACTCCGTGGGCGGCAATTGGCCGCTATATGTTGACGGCGTTCTGCATGCAGATATTACCCTTTCCAGGAAAGGCATCGCTTTAGAAGATTGCCTTCCCGCCGTATTCAAGTACAAAGGATACAAAGATACCAAGTTCCGCAAACTTCACGTCTTCCTGGTTGAGGACGTCAGATATTATACGAGGGATGGGACGCGAGCCGGTAAGGCTCCCTATAAAAAGTATCTCATACATGAGACGCGGAATAACGACCTCAGACCGGATGTGCACTGGCAACGAGAGGGTGAAGTCTCTGAAGAGGAGCTTAACCCCTCTGAAGCAAAATCGACAAGATTCCCTATATCGTCTAACAACTGTGACACTCCAGACGGCGCTGCTCTTCCCCCGAGCCAAACGATTAGCTTCGACCTTGAGCTAAAGATGCCTAAGTGCAAATTACACAGAGGTGCCCCAGACTTCAGATACATGCACTATGACACCAAACTTCGGAGTGTCGAGGTGTCACACTTCTTTGAGGTAAGACTACCCTGATCAAAACTATACTTTCCACACCCTGCTTTACCTTAATGCTGCCCTGATTTCTATCCTGTGGTGACAAACTGTTCCTTTTGTATCAACAAGCCTGGTGTGAGCTGTTTTTAATCTGGATATGTGAATACAGTTTCAGGTGTATGTTTTCATGAACAGCAGGCCCGTTACAAAACCTTTTGAACAACTGGTCCCCTTGACGCTTCGCTCTTGCTACGCCAATTCAGGCAATACAACCTTGCCTACCTATTGCGAGGAGCGTTTGCCGGTTTACTCATCGCTCTCCCCGGATGCCCCACCGTCGACTATTGATCATGATCATGATCGTTGATATCACTGACTTGGATCTTCTCCACTCGCCGCGCTGAGACTTGGCTCCATTTCCAATTCACATGGCTCTCAGATCGGAAAGCTCATCGTTTTGTATCTGCAGCGGGCTCTGTGCGAGATGTGCACTGCTGGACAAGGCGACAAGTTGTGCTCACTTTCCCGTCATTTCCGGCTAGCATGGCGTCGATTTGCCCCATGTTGAATTACGAGTGTCCTGAAGCGTTGTACAAGCTGACCTCGAAGACATTTCCCATCTCAGATTCCTTTCTCGTGTGCATAATTGTGTTGCAGGGTGACCGGTTCACTCTTGCCTCAAGTCTGCCTCATGTATGGTTCATGTATGCCCCACGTATCCCTTCAGAATCTCTGATCAGTAAGCCAGTTTAACGAATGAAACGATGAAATATCGGCATTAATAATGACCGTAAGAATCTCCAATACCAAGGACGGGACAGACTTACCGAGGAATTGAGTTTTCGCAAACCAAGCTCGGAAATCATGGTTCATCGACAATTCCTTTGCACGGATGTGGGTACTTAGGGCTACCGTGTGGGTGGGTATCAATTACATCACTTTCTCCTCCGTTTCTCTATCCGGGCCAAACACGCTTCCTCTCCTCTGGAGATTTAGAGGCCAATCCTCGAAAAAGACATCATCAATACATCATGAGCGGTATTATGCGAACTGCAGTCGCACTCAAGACTCATTCGGCTCAGTCTCACCTCGGGACGCGGGCAGAAGCATTTGACTAGAGTGTGCGCGGGAGTCATGATGTTCTGCAGTTCTACTGTCCTCACAAGCTGATATTTCAGGACAGACAAAAGTGCCAAACGTGGAGATCAACAGAGGCGAGGGTGAAAAAATGAGCAGAAAGAGATTGAAGATTGACCAATTACCTTCCTATTGAAGACTGACCCACAACCATGGATAAAGAATCCATGCAGATCTTGGGAAAGCCTATGCCCTTACTTTCCTTCTACCGCATGAGGAAACTCGGTATCGAACTCTCTGAGCTACTCACTTTGACTAAGAGAACGGTGTCCACTCTGACTTCATAGTTCTTGTCCATATGCCAGGTAACTATTTCTATGGGTCTGCCTCGCGCAGGGACTCAAATGTTTACTCGAATTCATTCACACTGTCTTCGACTACCGATTCGTAACCATGGCGCCGCCCACTTTTGCTGGCATGTCCGGACGGAAACTGTCCTGGACTGTGTCGACGATTGCGACCATGGGATTCTTATTGTTCGGATACGATCGTAAGTAACGCGGGCTGATTGATTCGTCCATGCTAACAGAGACAATGGCAGAGGGTGTGATGTCTGGCATCATCTCCGACCCGGCATTTAACAATGTCTTTACAGCAACCAAAGACGATAACACCATGCAAGCAACTGTGACAGCTGTTTACGAAGTCGGTTAGTACCGATCTGCGCCACTATGTACTGCGGAGCCTAACCCAGTTCACCACCGATAGGTTGTCTGTTCGGCGCTATCTTCGCCTTGATCTTCGGCGAGATCCTTGGTCGCCGGAAAATGGTCATCTGCGGCGCATCGGTGATGATTGTTGGAGTGATTATCCAAGTCACGTCATTCCCGGGCTCGCTACCTCTGCTCCAGTTCATCTTCGGCCGTGTCATCACAGGAATCGGCAATGGAATGAACACGTCAACCATCCCGACGTATCAAGCCGAATGCTCCAAGACGAGCAATCGAGGTTTGCTGATCTGCATCGAGGGAGGCATTATTGCTATTGGAACCATGATCGCCTACTGGATCGATTTTGGTGCACACTACGGGCCATCAGACCTGGTCTGGCGGTTCCCGATCGCCTTCCAGATTGTTTTTGGCATCGTGATTATCGTGGGCATGCTGTATCTCCCCGAGTCGCCACGGTACTTGATTGCGCAGGATCGTATCGCAGACGGCGAGAAGGTCTTGGCCGCGCTGGCAGGTACGGAGATAAGTGATCGTCATACGCAGCTGGAGAAGCAGTTGATTGTAGACTCGGTCCGAGCGTACGCTCCCCTACTTCGTACATCGCATTTTCATAGCTGACATGCGCCCCAGTGCCGGTGCCGAAAAAGCCAGTTTCAGAGACCTCTTCACCGGAGGACCATCGCAGCACTTCCGCCGGATGATTGTTGGTTCGTCCTCGCAGGTTTTCCAGCAAATCTCCGGTTGTAATGCAGTCATCTACTACCTGCCGGTCCTCCTGGAAGACTCAATCGGCCAATCGCATGACTTCGCTCTGCTCATCGGCGGCGTCAACATGATCTGCTACGCGATCTTCGCCACATTCTCCTGGTTCTTCATCGAAAAGATCGGCCGGCGCAAGCTCTTCCTCGGAGGAAGTTTCGGCCAGTGCGCAGCGATGATCATCGTCTTCGCGTGCCTGATCCCCGGCGACGCGCAGACAGCCAAGGGCGCAGTCTTCGGTCTCTTCCTGTACATGTGGTACGTCACCAACCCCAGCTCCTTTCCGACCTGAAAGTTCCAAAATCTGTACTGATTCCACGCCCAGTTTCTTCGGCGCAACCTGGCTCCCCCTCCCCTGGCTCTATCCCGCCGAACTCTCCCCCCTCAGAACCCGCGCAAAGGCAAACGCTATCTCCACCTGCAACAACTGGCTCTTCAATTTCACCGTCGTGATGATCACCCCCGTGATGATCGAGCACATCGGCTGGGGCACGTACCTCTTCTTCGCGGCCTGGAACGCCTTTTTTATTCCAGTCATCTGGTTCTTCTACCCCGAAACCGCGGGCCGGAGTCTCGAAGAAATCGATCTGATTTTCGCCAAGGGCTTCGTGGAGAAAATGAACTACGTGCGTGCTGCGAGGGAGCTGCCGCGGCTTTCAGATGAGGAGATCGAGGCCAAGGCGGCCGAGTATGGGATTCTGGACGATAATGAGAAGACTGAGGAGAGAGTTCTGGAGAGGGATCCGGCGGCGACGGCGGAGTTTTCATCTTTCCAGCCTACTCAGCTATAAACCGGCTGGTCTGGTTGGGGCTGTTATCTTTGGATGACATGGTTAATGATTGTAGTTGATGAATTTGGCGTCCTGTCACTTTGAGACGATTTGAGATGTACTAACAGCATGTTTTGGACATCTGGTATCATTGCTGACAATGAAGGTATCGAAATCTAGAGCTCAGCTCCTGTCAGATAGGGAGTTCCGTCGTGATAGAAAAGTTCCTTGCTGTTGAGATCTTCATATTGGCTTCCCGTAGACCAAGCATCTTGCTGCTACTATGAGCGAACGTAGACTATATGGGATTCGACTGCTAATGTTGCCTCTCTTGGTCGCTGGCACGGTCTGTCGGTTGAGTCCTTTTATTAGGGGGCTTAGGCAATAATATGAAATATTGAATTGAATCTTTGCCTGACCCTTGAGTAAACTATCGCAGTCACGCTCATGCTATGCTATTGTCATGCCATCGTCATCCATCAGTAGCTTTAAAGCCGAGAAGAGAGTAAACTTAACGAGATCAAGCGTATAGAATCGATCTTGTAGTCATTTCTCAAGGCGGGTGCAGAAAGCTTTCCCCTACACCCAGCCAGCATATTGGTCGAGCATTTCGTTCTTGACTCCCTCTGATCCATGGCGGACGCCCAGAAGCCTGACTGTCCCAATCTTGCCACCAAAATCATCCTCCACTCTGCTCTCCCATGTCTCAAAGAAAGCATTCAACCTGTTGATCACTTCCGGACTGTCTTGGATGAGGAGCGCAATGGCGTCGTAGCCACCGGCTCCAGGAACCACACCTCCAATGACACCTTCCAGCTCGGACAAGGCATCGAGTAGTTCTGTTTGGACGCGCGGCTCGATTGGGACATCGGACTTTTGAGTCATAGTACGGATATGGTTACGCGAGCGCTGAATGTAGGTGCGGACATTTTCAAAGTCACTGAGGCTATGCTCGTCCGGGCTCTGCGCCAACCGTCGGAGTTCCAGGCGGAGTCTTTCGTTGTTCGATTGCAGAGCACCCCAGAGCATATCGGCCTCCTTCTGATTCTGCTTCCGCCACTCCAGAACCTTCCTCACCATGGAAGGAGTCTGCGAGCCGCATTCGACGTCACAAAGGACCATTTGCATTCCCCGTGGCAGCTTCATGCCGAAATCGAGACATTCGGTGTCCCAAGGATGCTCGGGATCGGCGTCTTCCACGATTCGAAACAACCGCTCTTCAAAGCCCGGAGAACCAGCGTCGCCGACTGATTCGAGGATCGAGGGGGAGAAGCGTCTGTAGAGACAGGAGCCGTAAATGGCAGCTGCAACATCGAAGCCGGACCCGACTTTACCCTGAGCCGCACAGTGGGCCGCCTGGGCCAGGTTGTGAAGCTTGTCGCGGCCTGGGCCGAGGTCGTCGGGCTGCATAGTACGATGGATGACGAGAGATGATACCAAGGCAGTGACCAAGGCCGCTGAAGAGCCCAACCCCGTCTTGTGTGCCTCCTGAAGGCGAACACCGAAGTTCACGAATCTGCTTGACGACTGGAGCCCGGAAGCTCTAGAGAAGGCCGTCTCGGAGTAGTAATCGTTGTCGGCGAGAATAGTAATCGATAGTGACCCGAAATCCTTAGAGTCCGCCACATAGCTGATGTAAGTCAAGGCGAAGTTCAAAGAGGTCTCGACAAATGGGTTGCGTGGTCTGGATGGGGTCAGCTCCTGAGCACTTGTGGTACTAGAATATTGTTGCTTACCCATCATTTCTCTGTTTCACTACGACTCCTCCACCATTCTCGCATCTTTGTATGCTATACTCCCATACCGCATCCACGAACTGTGGGGAGTTTACGACAATGGTGTCTTCGTCTTCCTTATCTCCATGGACATTGCCTTCCATCTGAGGCGCGTCCGACTGGCCCTGCGCAGGCCCCGTCGCGGGCTCCCGCCGATGATTCCTTCTCAATTGTTGGACAATGACATGAATTCTGGCGTCGAGAGCAAACACAGTCCCAGTGTAGCTGCGGTCCAGGACCAGATAACCCCCAGTGAGGAGGACCTTGCCCGGCGCGGACAAGGCCGTTACTGCTGGGGGAAGAGGGGGCATGGTGAAAATCAGGAGCTTGACGTCAGAGTTGGAGAGTGGATGAAGGAGTCAGATCGAGGTGTTATAAAGTCGGCGGTCCGGTATCAGGGGTTTAATGGGAGCTAAAGGAACGTGGCGTCAGCATTTCTGCAAGCAAGCCAATTGTCTCCGCACACATGTACGAGACACTACCAGATCGGACATACATGTCTGACAGAAAGATTTGTGCAGTGTGTAACCAAAAGAAAAGAGTCCTCTTGCAATCAAGCGGTCCAAATCGAGGGGCAGATCTCAGTAGCCCCGCCTTCACTACTTTGGGGGCTAGACGAAGCGAAGAATTTCCACAATGATCATAGGACAACTCAGTGAAATTGGACGTGACGATGAAGTATATTGGCTCTTTCTGAGGTCCTGGATTAACTAGATATTCTTTGCGATACGCATGATGCTTATCACTGCCTGGCGTCGTCCCAATGTTTTGCTACTTCCATGCGGAGTTAATCGGCCGTGGCTAGTGTGGAGTGTGGCTAATTGTGGCTGAGGCTACGGACATTATTCGATCACGCGATATGGATAAGGTCAGGACTCAGAGGGTTTCATTACATGTATAAGGTAAGTTATATACAGTCTAGGCCATCAGATATGCGTCAAAAAGGTTTAATCCTTTTCAAGGCCGCCGCGCCGGTTTCCAAGCATTTAACCACCAACGCCTTCATACAACAATGGATTTAAGAAGCCGAATAACAAGAAAACAAAGGCGTGACATCATAAAGAGAAGGAACTGCGCTTCGTGAGACCGTCGCTCACCACAGAGGCAGCGTAACTTTATTGTTGTAGTCGATATTGTCCGCTCTGGCTTCGACGCGCTCACGGCATGTGCCGAAAATGCGGTCCCAAAGGCGTGTCTGCTTGCCATAGTTGTAACTACTCTTCCAGCCATAGCGGTGGTGAAGATCGTGATCCTCGATGACCAGCTCCGCATTGACGAGCCTCAGAAGCCAAGTCAGCGTCGATGGTGTGAATGTGTGAAGACGGACCCCGCTGTGCCCGGCAAGCTCTGAAAATACCACATACTGGTGGCAAAACCACCACTCATAGAAGCCCATAGGGAGGCCCATGAGCTTGAGGCTGAAATAGGCCATTATAGGAATGCCCGCAATGTCAAAAAACTCCTGCTCGCTATCCGCATAAAGCGTCAAAAGCGGATTCGGGTGCTTGGTGAGGTGATGAGTGCGGTGGTATTTCCAGAGGCTGCCGACATCGTGCATGAGACGGTGGTACCAATAGAACCAAAAGTCCAGAACGATGCCATAAAGACCGATTTCGAGTGGTAGCCAAAGCCAGTGGATAGAAGAAGGTGGTAGGGCGGTCCGGTAGCTCAGGAAGACTGTGAACATCGGACGGAAGGTGGATGTCGAAAGAAGCGACTGAACGACTTTCACGACACCAACATCGGGTACACCGTCTCGCTCATGCTTGTCGCCGTCGAAAAACCCAAGTCTGTGGCCGAGGCGGCGGAGGATGTGCAACTCATGAATGGCAATCGCCTTGAATGCCGTGCTGTAGAAAATAAAAGCGGCGACTGGGGTTAGGTTGCGACCTGTATAGGCGACATAGAGCCAGTGAATGGCAAATGGTATTAGGGCGTGGACGAGGACCCAGCGGTTAGTTTGCCATTCCGTCATGAAAGGCACCTTGTCGTCTTTGGTGTGTACCGGAACGTCTTTGTCGAGGGCAGTAGGATGTATGCCAAGCACCTCATAGAACCAATGGAACACAGTCCACTGCTCCTTATCAGTGCGCCATGTAGACTTCATCGAGTCCTTGGGATTGCGCATTGCGGTTGCCATGTTGGCCTCTTGGTTGCGGTCCTTCTATTATCTGCTTGCAAGTGATTCTTCATCCAAGAGGGATGGGGATTGGCCGGGGAATGGCCTCTATTTTATGTTTCAGCTCCTGTGGCGTCATGGTTTGAAGTCCAGAAGATCAATGTGGATGCCCTCGGCATGTGAATTAGTAGATCTGTTCATGTGGGGTCTGGGGGAACCCTGGTATAAGAAACCAGCACCGCGGCTCTCCTAATGACGGCTGTGCAGATCCTCGCATCCTCAACGAAACACGGGCTGGAGCTCGCAACCTTTGGCTTTTTGGGATCATTGGGACCTTGCCGAACCACACGCGACAGACGCATGATGCCGATTTGGACTTGTTCTTAGTGTTCATTGGGAGGCACTCTTCCCCGCACTAAGACTCTAAGAGACCTCGGGCCTTTAGGCAAGACAAGAGTTTTTTGATGGATCTTATATCTGAAACGTTTCTACTCTCGACACAATCAGTAGGTATTCTTTCTCTTCTACAAGACAGTTGCCATCAGGACTTAATCTCACCATTATTATTGCATTCAAATTGCGAGTTCCAAGGGCTACAAATGAAGTTTGCGCTGTATGCGATTCCATGGACATCGACGTGATGTATACAGTCTTACGGATCGACCAAGACGAAACCGTTCTCGGTTAGAGTACCCCAAACAGACAGTTTGCCCATTCCCGGAAAAACTGCCTGCCGGTCCGTCGTAATCAGGTGTACCCCAGTTAAGACTGGAATTTGGGGATCCCCATCGCGTTGCATGCCCGATTGGGACTGGTTCCTCTCAATCTACATGGTCTTGGTCATCATGTAGCTACATTTCGAAAATTTATCTACTTACTGTCTAGACCAGCAATGTCACATGGATAAAGAGCTGGCATTTCCCATCTTCCTTGTGGTTGCAACTCAGTCCCTGGCCAGTCGCTGGCAAGCAGTTTGCTGTTGCCTTGTGTTTGGTGTTGTGCTGGCAATGCTCGCTTAAGAGACGACCACTTCTCCGTCCGAACTGGCTATTTTCACAAGCACAAACTCTACCATATGAAATCAACAAGACTCCTATGGCTGCGCGGAAATGATTACGAATACTATGGCATCTGTCTTTGCCTATACCGTCGATGGACAACAAGCTCTGGCAGACCTGATCTGTCAGGCGCATCATACGATTGAGAAACAGCCTGTGTGCAAGTTGTAGTATATCGGAAGATCGGGATGCAAAGAACATATATGCAAGATTGGATTCTACATAAGTAGCCCAAACAACCCAGCAAGCAATGGCATCGAAAAGGCCTGAGGCAAGCATGACACTACCTCATGGATGCCACTGCGGGAGTGTCATGCATAGTACTGCAGTGAAACACCGGGTCAGAAGTTTCCAGGCACACTCGGACTCTAGAACTCCCGTCTATGTCAAGATTGTAAAACGAGTCTCATACGTACACAGTGGCAGCGATGAAAAGTTGTCGGTCTGAACAAAGTACGACCCTGACTCCCTAAGGCCAGCACTGACATAACTCTCGGACTCGGCGTTTCGGCATTATGGGATCCGTTGTTGATCTCGGAGGATGTTGAAGACTCCGGACGGAACCATAGCGTTGGCAAAGAAAATAAGCCGGAATGAACGGGTGAGTCACCATGCTGCGCCCCTGTCAAAACAACCAGACACTTCCGGCAATCCACCAAAGAATCAGGGACGGGTGAAAAATACCTCCTGCTTTTCCCTAAGCCCCAGCGGGAATTCACTCTCTCGCCTCTTCGATTGGACAATGTGTCCCTTGACCCGGGAACGAGGGCGACCACCTGATCATCTCATCGTAGAAAAGTTCAAACCTTAGGCAACGATTTTAGATAGTTTCTCGAAGGCTTCCTCCGCTGACGTTTACTGTTATCCGACGTGCATTTTCTTTCCCCTTAGTCGTTTCGAGAATCTGATATCAGGACGCGATCTGCCAGGTGTCATCATCAATTTTTCCCCCTATCTCCCACCACCACATTCTTACATATTATTTGAACAGGGCAATTTCTCTTCTAATTGCGCCCCATTAAAAGGTCCTATCTAAGCCTTGTGGAATCCTTTCGGGACAAGTGGACAAGTGGACACTGAGCACTGGACTCTTTGCCCCATAAAGAGCATTTCTTCCCCGAACAGTTTAGTCCCTCTGGATCTGCACTAATCCCCTTTTGGATTAGTCCCTGATACAGATCATTTTCGTCTTTTCTCAAATATTGTCGCGTTTCCTCTGGGGATCAGGTTCTCCCATTTTCACCATTAATCGACTATTACCTCTCTTCGCGTTTTGAGGTCCCTCTCACCTTTATTACGCGCGTTCTTTTGGCGACCTCAAGTCGTCAAATGAACCTGCATCATTTCTATTATTTTGATTGCAAGGTATGCTTGATTTGATTCGGTACCTGGTGGGATATAAAAAAAAAAAAAATAGAGACAGTCTGACTAATCAATATACAGCATCACCTCTTCCCTTTGAAGAGGTCTCCCGCAAGATAAATGGTGTTCAAGCCGTTCACTCACCTCGCGCGTCAGAGTTTCACCAAAGCCTTCACCCATGGCTATGCTCAGTCCGTAGTTGCCGCGTCGCAGTCGTACGCACCGTCGGCAACTTTCAATCAACTTGCCAGTCAACCCGCCAAATTCACTCGGACAAGTCAATTACAAAATGTTTTCCAGCCATCGAGTTCGTCGGGTGCTGGTGCCAAGGCCAGCCAGGGTGGTTCTGGGTCCGGAGACTTTGGGTTAGCGGCATACTATGCGGCCTGGCAGCACGCCCAGCAGACTGGCGATGACAGTGACTGGAAACAGTTTCAATTCAAGAGACGAATTGGCTGGAAGCCGACTGGGGATGATGAATCAGTAAAGGTGAAGGTGGGGGAGAAGGCTACGGACTCTCAACCCGGTCTGCACGACTCACCACGCGTCACCAAGGCCTCAGCCAATGCCGAAATCAGCGCTCAAGTTGAGGAGGCCGTAGCACGAGAAATCCAGATTCAGGAGGAACAGGCACATGCTGAGGAGGCGGAAGCAAAGGATGAGGGTACTGAGGCATTCCCTGATCTACCGCCGGAGGTTGCCGCCGTCTCCGATGCGACCGCTGAGCAGTCTCGAATCGTTTCCGACCAGATTGTCCAATTAGCCTCGGGCAAAAAGTACGCTGAGATCCCTGCCGCTTTCGAGTTGCTTCTTAGAGATGGCCTCACTCCGACCGTTGGTGCTTACAATGCCTTGTTGGAATCTGCCGTCCGCCTTCACACCGACGTTTCACATGCCATCCCCAAAGCACTCGATGTCTACTCAGACATGCTTCGTCGCAGGGTAATTCCCGATGAAGACACCTATCGCACACTGGTCGAGCTTTTTGTCACCCGCTCGCATGAGACGATCAAGGCCAAGGAGTCATTGGAGCAGGAGCGCCTTCGCTATGGAGGCATGGAAGAGCCTGGCAAATTTATGCTGCACTCTAGTCAGTTGGAGCGCGATCTGCTCGCTGAGGACCACTCTCTCGCTATTGCTGTCAAATTGTTCAACACCGCAACTACTCGTCACTCAGATCTGGTCTTCTCTCTCGATATGTACCGCTATCTTATCACAGCATGTGCGAAAGAAGGCCAAGTTGAGGATATGATCCGTATCTATGCCCACATGGAGTCGCATAAGGTGACGCCACATGCGTCTATCTTCCCGTCAATGATCGATGCCTTTGCGTCTAGCGGCGATCTGACCAGTGCTGTGGAGTGCTACAACGAATACAAGGATCTCGCAATTTCTGATGATAATGGCACGTTCAGCATTGTCCAGCGTTTGGACGGTCAAGTGTACGCTGCCGTGGTCAGGGCTTATCTTTCAGCCGGAAAGGAAGAAAATGCCTTGCGATTCCTTGAGCGCATCCGTGGTTCGTTTGATGAAGTCGCTGAAAACCGTGAAGCTCGCCAGGAGGCCGTCGAGTCCGTAATTGTTCAGGATGGCCTCGTGCAGTATTGTCTCAAGTCGGGTGAACATGCAAAGGCATTGGAGCACGCCAAGGAGCAGCTACGCGGTGGTGCTTTGGATCATGCCATGGCCCGCATTTGCGTCACTGCGGCGGATGCCGGTGATCTCAACACCGCCTCCGAAGCGTACGGACGTCTCCCCTCAGACCCGACTGTGCGCCAGGGTCCCGCCATTGCGATGCTGGCATTGCATGTGCGGCAAGGCAATGTGTCAGAGGCTCGACCCCTGTGGCTGATGCTAAGCACCGTGGGTCAGGCAACTCCGGATATGGTTCAGCCGACGGTTATGTACGCAGTTGCCTTGGCCAAGAGTGGCCAGGTCGATGAAGCTCTTCTTGAAGCCCGCAATATGTTCGCCCGGATTCGCAACTCCTCTGCCAACAACACCGTCGTACTGAATTCCATCCGTGAACAAATTAATGAAAGCCTTCACCTTATCGGCCGTGTCCTCATGCAGACTGCCGCTGTTCTCTCCCCCCAGGCTGCCATGAACCTCATTTGGTCCATGACTGAGAATGGTGGCCTCGTCTCTCCCCTTGCTGAACATGCTGTTGCCAGCCTTGGACCTTTGGGTATCTCTCAGCTTGCTGCGCCCGACCTGGCGCTCGCCCTCCAGGTTCAAGCTGGTATGCTTCTCAACAACAACTCCATGGCCTTTGATGTCGCTCATCCTATCCGCTTCGCTCACATGCTTGACATCGCTCTGGCCACGAGACTCCCATTGGATGCTCAAACCACTGCCCTGGTCGATCAAGCCGTCGCCAAGCTGTTCAACAGCCGGCCTGATATGGTGAAGAGATGGCAGGACCATCTTGGCATGGCGTCCTCTCCATCGTCTTTCCTTTCCGGTCGTCACTCTCCTGTTTCGGAAGTTTCGTCTATGACGCCCGCGTCTAGCGACGACTCTTTCGATCCGTATGCATATGCTACCGACTTCCGTGGATCTTCTATTATTGCCGAGGAGTTGGAGAGTACCAGCGGTCGCGCAGAGTCACATCTGAATGAGGCTTTGACTCGGCTTCGGAACATGCGTCGCATTGGTCGCCATCCTCGCTATATCACCTATGCCAAGCTCATTAATGCGGCTACGAAGGCCGGCCGTGCCGACCTAGTGCAGGAGATTCTGAGCATGGCCCGTCGTGATGTTCCTCTGCTGCCTCAGTACCATGCTGTCAAGTATGGCTGGATTTCCATCCTCGATGCCATGGTTGCCTCCTGTTTGACTCTCGGAGACCGCAGCCTCGCTGCCAAGTACCACAATGAGCTCCTGGAGCTGGGTTCGGCACCATCAGCGAATACCTTTGGCCTCTACATCACTACCCTCAAGGAATCCACCAAGACCTTTGATGAAGCAACCGAGGCTCTGAAGATCTTCCATCGTGCTATTGCCGAAGGGGTTGAGCCGACGTCATTTTTGTATAATGCGCTTATTGGCAAACTTGGTAAGGCGCGCCGGATCGACGACTGCCTTCTGTATTTCGCCGAGATGCGTGCCAACGGCATCCGCCCCACCAGTGTCACGTACGGAACGATCGTCAATGCTCTCTGCCGTGTCAGTGATGAGCGTTTTGCCGAAGAGATGTTCGAGGAGATGGAGTCGATGCCCAACTACAAGCCGCGACCCGCTCCTTACAACTCTATGATCCAGTACTTCCTCAATACCAAGCGCGACCGCAGCAAGGTGCTGGCCTACTACCAGCGCATGCAAAGTCGCAACATCCAGCCCACCATGCACACCTACAAACTGCTCATTGACGCCTATGCGTCCCTGGAGCCCGTGGACATGCCTGCTGCTGAGAAGGTGCTGGAAACTATCAAGGCCTCCGGACAACAGCCCGAAGCCGTACACTATGCATCCCTTATCCATGCCAAGGGATGCGTGATGCACGACCTTGATGCTGCCTTGGATATTTTCCGGTCTGTTGTATCGAACCGCAAGGTGCGCCTACAGCCATGCCTCTACCAGGCTCTGCTGGAGGCCATGGTGGCCAATCATCAGGTTGCTCAAACCGAGGCCATAGTCAAGGACATGGCCGACCGCCGTGTGGAGATGACTGCCTACATTGCCAACACTCTTATCCACGGGTGGGCCGCTGAAGGCAACGTCGCCAAGGCCAAGGCGGTCTATGACAGCGTTGGCGTCGACAAACGGGAACCCAGCACCTATGAGGCAATGACTCGTGCATTTTTGGCATCTGAAGACCGCGAGGGAGCCTCTCGTGTTGTCCAGGAAATGCTGTCTCGTGGCTATCCTACTGCTGTGGCCAGCAAGATCCTTGACCTGGTTGGAGGTGGTGCGCCGGTTGCTGCCATCTAAACAGGGTCTTCATCCGATGATGCTGCCTTCCCTTCTTCGTTTCAACCAGTTTGAAACCTATGTCAAATTGACAGAATCAAAAAGTACTTGTTCTAATGTTTCCCCTAAGTTGCCAGGGCTGGATTCCCTGTCTTCTGGCGATCTCCAGCCCGACGGCCTTTGTACAGGCATTCGGGAAGGCAGCGTCGATTTCTGATACTTGATTACTTCGTTTCAGGACTCATTTACACTGTGTTATGCATTCAGCGAGGGGAAGGCGTTGGTCAAACTGGGATTCATTATGTTGCGTGTATACCATACCACGTTGGTCGTTTTTCCTTTTCCATATTTCCTTTGTCTTATAGACCACTCTCTACTCCTTATCCTAAGGATTACCTGCTGTTCAAAAAACAATCAGGTCAAAATTCAAACACGATATGAATTACAATTGCAGCATACATTGTAGATACTTCGCAGTGCCCGATTTCGGTTCTCGTGATAATGACATCATGGAGCTGCGATTCTTAAGATTGGAATTCTCCTGGCCGAAGCACTTGGCGAGTATTGGATCAATAATGCGATCGCAATTGATCGATCAGTCGACATGGATCAGGCGACTCGGAAGAGCGCTCCTTGTATTATTGTTCCATGTTTGTTGAGTGCCCAAAACGGCCAATAATTTCCGGCCGTAGATTTCCGTTGTCAACTCCGCATTTATGGCCGATGACTCGCAATCTCCCCTACCTTTAATCTTCAAAGTCATCATCCTTCTTCGCTAAGCTCACACAGCTATACAGTCTATGCTTACTGGTCGCGTATGCTTACGCACTCAGTGCCCTCTTCGTCGCATCCGTCTAGCAACGAGCCGTTGTAGCCACGACCAAACGTGGTATTTTCGCAGTATGAGTTCGGGGAGTCCAACAGCGGACGAGCACGCAATGAGCTCCCGACGGCCCAAGAAGCTGATCTGTACGTTTCCCAATTTCTCCCCTCCAAAGAAAAAAACGCAATGATCTATTCCTAACACCCTCCAGTCGCACCCGGCGACATCGAAGCAACCCCCGACCTCTTAGTCACAGCCACCGAAACCAAAGATCCCTCGTCACCCGCCCCCAATGTCCCCGAGCACATCGCCGAGCAACTTCGCTCAGATGTCTCAACCCCGGACTCCACGATCGAGCGCCAGATCGTCGCCCACCCGGCCCGCGCGCACCAGTTCGTGAGCAACCCGCCCCTAACAGTCTCCCAGATGCACCCGTCCAACCCGCTCCATCAATTCCACACCTGGTTCCGCGACCCGCGGCTGTCGCCGTCCTCGGCGCCGGAAACGTGTACATTGGCCACCGCATCGCTGCCTTCTGGGCGGGTCAGCGCGCGCGTTGTCTACCTCAAGGAACTGGACGAGCGGGGCTGGGTGGTGTACAGTAACTGGGGCAGCCGGGAAGGCAAAGGCGGGCAGGTGTTCGGTGTGAATGCGGGCGGCGGTGATTTCCCCGGTGCGATGCCGCGGCCCGGCGAGGACGAGAGTCTGCTCCAAGACGTGCAGGGGGGCAATCGGTGGGCTGCGTTGACGTTCTGCTGGTCGGCGCTGGAGCGCCAAGTTCGCGTTGAGGGGATGGTGGAGCCGCTCAGCCGCGAGGAGAGCGAGTTGTATTGGGATACTCGCGAACGGGGCAGTCAGATCGGTGCGTGGGCGAGCTGGCAGAGTAAGGTGCTCTGGTCGGCCGAGCCCGAGATACTGGTCGACCGGCGGCGGAAGAGCGTTGCGGCCGCGGCCCATGTTCAGGGCTCGACGCCTACGTCTGGTTGTCTTGAGATCCCGGCCGACATTGATGAGACGGACATTGATGATGGGAGGGCTCTGCTTGAGCAGCGGGTACAGGAGATGGAGGCGCGGTTTGCGGGGGTCGAGAAGATCCCTCTTCCGCCGTTCTGGGGTGGTGTGCGACTGGTACCCGAGTCGGTGGAGTTTTGGCAAGGCCGACGCAGTCGGTTGCATGATCGCTTCCGATATGTGAGAGTGAGGGAGTCAGATGATGATTCGTCGTTCAAATGGCAGATTCAACGACTTTCGCCATAGACCTTACAATAGACCGTTGATATCAGGCTAAGTGAACTACAACCTATTTTTAAGACTTATCAATCAATACCAGGCATAGATCCTTTCAGCTTCAGTCAACGATGATTAGACTAAAGGGCTTATCATCAGCTTCCTAGTATCTCTAACCCTATCCTTTCTGTCATTCACTTCAACCACTTTAGGTGCCGTCATGAAGCATACAGCTTGAGAAATGAGTACAGATAGCAACCCGAAAGGCGAAAACCCCCGGATTAAAGCAGTATTTCTAGTAGAAATGTGCATCACGTCATTCAGGTATCTAACTCTATTGAATTTAATCCGCTGTAGGTTCCTGGACTCCAATTTCCCGGAGAGGGAGCTCAGCCGTCTCAGCAGTCTTGGCCCCGGGGTAGCGGTTTCCTTTATCCTTTTGCTTCTTTTCCTTCTTCTTCTTTTCCGGAGGGGGGTATGCTTTCAATGTGATCTCCTGCCATTCTTTGGAGGCCTCAAAAGCTGTGATGATAGGGGCCATAAGCTCAACCAGAGCCTCCGCCACAGCGGGCTTGAGCAATTGCGGTGTCAACTACAAAGAAGTCAGTACCACGTCAGATGGCCTTTGTACTGCACGTTTGTTCCTGTACATACAATATCGTTCTTGTAATCTTCCTGCATCTGCTTGATGTCGTTGTAGACGAGAGGCTCCAGGCCGTCTCTCTCACGGCTGACGCGGAACTCTGGGCGGCCAGTCTTCAGGGCGGAAGCAGGGAGGAGGACGAATTCTGCAAATGAGAGAACACCGTTGTTTTCGATTTCCTTGGGAGCAGCCTGGGCCTTGCGGATCTTCTTTCTGACAGTATCCGCGGCCTCGAGAAGATCAATCTTGCTCTCTATCGAGAATCAGTAAGCTGTTCGCAATAGTATAGAAAATCGACAGTACCTTCTTCACTCGAGCTCATCTTACCACCGGTAAGACCAGGGACCATGGGGTTCAGCAGATGGGCTCGCTAGATATATGTCAGCAAAAACGTGAGCCGTACGGCAATGCTGTGCTGACCTTTCTGTAACCCAGCTTGGGCTGCCATTCGGTGGATGCCGCGAACAATTTACGCTGGTCAACTCCTACTCAAATTAGTCTTTGCGCAGATTGATAACTGAGGAAACCCACCTCCGAACTGAACATCGCAATCGAGGTGCTGCTCATCAAGCACCTGAAGGATAGGGTAAAGAAGACCACTAAGGGGGCTGTTGTTGGATTGCTTGACAACTTCAGCACCAGCCTTCTTCGCGTCGTGTTCCGACACCAGAGAGCACAGCTTGTACACATCCATCACATATTCAGGGCTCTTCTGGTAGGAGCTGCCGAGGACGAAGCGCAATTTCTCCGTCGAGACGCCCACAGCCTGGAGCATCGCTCTAATTGTGTACTCATAGTATTTCGCGCGGTATTCGACAAGCTCAATCGGGGCCTTCAGATTATCGAGGAAACCATGGATATCAGCAATCAGAATCGTCACATCGCAACCGGCAGCCAGGAACTGTGCGATTTTGACGGCGGGCACTAAATGCGGGGTTAGCGGTGGGCTTTCGATCGCATTGCAACGATGTCGTACCAAAGTATCCGCAGTGAGGTTTGCCAGTGGGACTCGTTCCTATCAATTGGAAAAGAAGATGTCAGCAATTGCCCAGCTGTCACTTGAAAAAGGTTGCGTCGTACCCCAGTAGATCTTTGGGTTGCGCCCCTCCGCGAGAATGCCCTCAATGATATCCGGGTTGAGAATTTCTTGAAGGTTTTCCTTGATGAGGGCGAACCTTTCGGCCGCGTTCATTTCTGCCATGGTTCAGGAAGAATATGCCTTCAAAAACTTGACGACGGAAACCGCAGTCGCTATATAGTGCACTCTGCTTAGGTGAGTCAGTCCGTATACCCATGGATAAATACAAAAATCCCCACCATCTCCGGGCCGGGTGTTTTCCCGCTTGGAGTAATCACACATGCGACAGGGCGGTCAGCCAGAATCCAACGTCAGGCCAACAGCCATATCCGCCCAATCAAAAGGTGAGATGGATGAATGCAAGGGGCCTTGACGACTGTATGCTGACGGAATCTGCATGTAGCTGGGACATAAGGAGTTCGATCGTCCTTCCGGGTATCCTTCCCTCTTCCTCTCGGAATGCTCGGAATGCTCCGATTTTGCTGGCTTTCCATCCTTCATGTGTAAACCTCCAACATCCAGATCAACTAGAGCTCGAGACGCGGTTTGAGAGGGTCACCAAACCCAGCAACTTGGATACCTCCCTACCCTTCTATGCAATATAGCAGCATGATTACGTGGCATAAATCTTAGCTAGTCCCGTAAGCAGGTCAATCGCTAAAAGAGCCATGAGCGTTCAATATCAGTACTCAATAGTCGATAGCAAGAACGCGACTCTCCATAGAGCAATACGTCTTTGAGCCTCGGCCCTTGATTTCTGACAACGTGCTTCTCATCAGACCTGCCTCTGATTGAAATCTTATAAGACACAATCCAAATATTGCTGTCCATGTAGCTCTTCCCCTAATCCCATACCTACGGAGTACACGGTGAAGGTTCAGGTAATCACCCTTATCACGTGAGTGTACGCATTCAGGGCCATCAACATCAACATTTACTTTCCTCATTTCTACCAGGAAAAGCAACTGAACGTCAGTTGAAATACAATCAACTCACATCTGGAAGCTAACCTCCAATTCCTCCATTACGAATAAGAAGCCGCATCATGATACAACCGCCCGTTCAATCCCGCTGGATCATCCTGGCATTAGCCAGCGGCGCATTCGCAGCTCTCAATGGCCTTTTCGCCAAATTGTATGTCTACAAGTCCAGCTAAGGGCAACTCGCATTTTGGAGCAGATCATTCGCTAACAGGATTCAGAACAACCGACGAGCAAACCACCGCGTTCGCCAGGAGTATCTCGCATCTCTTCGGCGCGGGGGACCAAAACACGTTTCTTGAACTGCTGGTTCGAGGTGTAGGTCTCCCCTTCTTTTCCTGCATTTTGAAGGATTTGTTTGACTTTGTAAAGGTCTGTCTGGGACTCAATGTCCTGTGTAACATCATCATGTGGACGCTCTTTACGAGAGCGTTGACGGCGTCACCCTCCACGACCAAGGTGTCCATCACTAACACATCGGCAAACTTTCTCATCACTGCGTTGCTGGGTATGGTTGTCTTCCGGGAGAAGGTGAGTGGGCTGTGGTGGTTGGGAGCTGGGATGATGGGTGGTGGGTGTATCTTGGTCGGGATGAGGGATTCATGAGCCTTGTGCATCTAAGCAAACAGGTCTGAGGATTGCACTTGGTTGCAAGTAAGGAAAGAACTTGAGTGCCAAATACAATGAAGCCATTCCTTAGGATGCCTGATCCCATAGTCTATTTGAAGTGATATATTACATCAAAAGGTATCATATGATATAGGTCAATGTCTCTCCGTCAATTCCACAAAAGCATCGTCGTCCTCGGTTCCTCTCCGGACCCTGTTTGGTCCCCGGTTGTCTAAAGCCACTGGCCCGTGGTCGCGGTTAAGGCGTGGCCACCGTGGCAACATCGAGCCCACACGTTGCAGGAAGCGCCATACATTTTCTTCTAGACTATCGCTCTGGCGCCCGTTAAGATGAGCTCCAAGTGGAAGGTCCGCCGCAGTATGGGTTGAGGCGAGGGCTTGCTCCTCGGCCTCCACCTTGAACTGATATTTCAGGCAATCCTTGACAGTGACGAGTCCCGTGACCCGACCACGATGCTCAACCAGGATCACCCGCGGTCCCATCTTCTTAAAGATCTCCATGACAGTCTCCAGTGCCAGGCGGGGATGCACGGTTAGCGGTGTGTGGTCAACATATCGGCTGAAATCCACGAAAGGAGCCCCTAAACTAGTTTGAATTGCATCGAAGGTATTGGGCACCAACTGATTTCTCGAGACAGATGCCCTGCGCGCCACTGCAGCTTCGGCGGCTTCCTTGGTGAATACACAGCGGGCATTAGGAGCCAACATACCCTCCGACTTTGCCCGGTCAATCGCGTATCGGAGTTCAGTGCGGCCGATGTACCCGACCAGAACCTTACTTGAACGATCCTCAACGATGGGGAACCCTTGAAATTTGTTGTCATTCAGAAGATGCTCGGCTTCACGTACAGGGAAGTCTGCTGCAGGAAGCGAGACGGGATCAGGCGTCATGGCCTGGGAGACAGGCACGTTGAAGACATGCTCTTCTTTGTTGTCTAGGAATGGGAAGCCGTTGGACCAGATCATTCGGTCTGCAATTCCTCCGCTGCCAAAGCGATCACCAACGGCTTTGGTGACACCCACCACAATCTGCCGATGTTAGTCCCTTTGACGAATGCACGGATCATGGCTAACTCACCATGGTGGGTAGAATGTAAGTAAGGGCCCCGGTAAGTTCAAACATGATGACCACTACAGATATTGTGAGGTGCATAATGCCACTCAGAGCAGCCCCAGCGCCCAAGAACGCATATGTCCCGGGAGTGATGCATGGAACATCCGGTTTACAAGAGGCAAAGAAAGCCGAATTCGGGAAAGCTTCGTGCAAGGCCTGGACAAGGATCCCTACCAAGCGACCAAAGGACGCTCCAATGGCCATTGACGGGACGAAAATGCCGGCAGGGACTTTACAACCGTAAGATACGATGACCAAAAGAACTCGTAAAATCGTAGCAAACACTAGGGATGCCACCATAGTCCATCGATTCTTAGACCTAGAATCATTAGCAGTTGTCTTCTCTATTTGTCAGCTAAACGGCTTACTCGCAAAGTCCGTGATAATCGTGCCCTCCTTCGCATTCATGGAACAAAATCTCCATCATCTCGGTCATGTTGATCTTCAAGAACATGTTCGGATAGCAAATGAACGCGGTCAAGCCCGCTAAGACGACTGATTCGATGATGGGGTACTGCGAGAGATATTTCTTCCGGAACGCCTGGACTCGTAGATTCCACTTGATCACAAAGGCCCCGTACAGACCACCGAATATCCCGAGAAGTACGAAAAATATTAGCTCGAAAAAATGCCATGTGCGATCATACTGCACCTGAAACATGACGAGTTGGCCGGTCCTGAAGGGATTCATCATCTGTGGCCTGGATCAGCGGCTGAAGAACAGACAGAAACAGAAACTGGTGTCCGTACCGCCAACACACCAGTTGCGACCAATGCGCAGAAATAACTTCGCCAAAGGGTCTTGAGGGGAAAGTAGGATGCCATTTCCTGCAGCCTAGTTATCAGCATGACTCTCCGAGGCATGAGCTCCAAAATCACGAACCTCTAGAGAGAATAGTACCCCACCAATTGGACTGCCAAATGCCACTGCCACACCAGCAGCAGCCGTTGCCGTCAGGACTTCTCTCGTTTTTGACGCGTTCAGCTTATATTTGCTGAAAAGGCGTGAGATAACATTCCCTGTACAGACGGCGAAGTGCACACTGGGTCCTTCTTTTCCCACTGAAAGACCAGACGCAATGGCCAATGGAAGCGCGATGGACTTGATCAATAGTGTCCAGCCGCCTAAGAAGCCTTTCATCACGAACCCGGCAATAATGCATTTTATTTCCGATATACCGGACCCTGCGGCGTAAGGAGCAAATACTTTAACCAAAGTGGAGGCGATAAATGCGAACAAAGTCTATACTTTCTCAGTCATTGATCCGAAAGGGCAGGTAAGGTTCAATATACCGCGAAGAAGAAGTATACGAAGTAGTTGATAAGCCAGAAGGAAGTCCATGGCTTCCATTCGGGGCAGCCTGGTAAAGAGACACGTTAGCTCCACGCTTCACCATGAGCAGAACATACGCGATATGGCATACCTCCTTCAGCACCCCAGCAGCAGAACTGCTCATTGAGGTAGAATGCAGTCGTACAATAACCCAACTTGATATCCGACAGCCACTCGGTGATGATGTTCAATACAGCCGAGATCAATCCGATAGCGGCGCCGACAATTGTAATGACGAGCCAAGCTTGCCCAGCGTCATAAGACTCGCTCACTTTGCGCCTCCAACCAAATGTGCCTTCCTGATCCCAGAACCCAGCCCCATCTCGTCGCTTCGCCCTCCGTCGCGCTTGTTCCTGAATAGCATCTTGGACCCAATCAATCGTTGTAAAATCCTCATATCGCTTTATTTTCCTGATCTCATCCGTAATCGCGTTCGGCTGGCCGTTGTCGTCGGGTGGGCTAGGATCGACAGGCGAGGTGACAGATAAGCCTGATAATCTCCAACTCCGACGCTCAGACAGGACTGAGGGTGAGCGGGGAGCGGTCGACGAGGCAGGCATCGAGCTCAAACCACGGTTCTCTTTTGTGGTAAGAGCATAGTCGGCGTGGATGCGATGCTGGGGAGCTGTTTATATTGCAGTGACAATGTTCCATGGCAGATATGCCGCCCGCCCACGTGAGGGAACTTCCCGCTTTCACATTGGAGATAAGGATAGATGACGATGGGTTTCCTTTGTCGATCGAGGTGTAGCACAAAAAATCTTGTAAGATGAATTTTCTTTCCTTTTCAACGAGTTGGCTGGTCAGCAGTAATATATAGGGATCACCGTGCTTGATTCGACCCTGTTCTTGTAGTCAAGCACATGCAAGTATGTCCTACATCACTTGCGGAGAACCTCTACACGCTGCGCGCTCTTGATTTCTACCCGCACGCGGTGTAGCAGTAATTTCTCGACCTTCCAAACCGCACCATATTCATCTCCAATCCAGACAATAGTGCTTAACGAGTCTTCCAAATCCGTACAACTCAACTTCCTTTGATATCAGACCAGCTTTGAAACATCGGCGATATACGACCAACCCCCAAGCAGCTCCGAAGTCGAATCCGCTATGTCTCCGAAAGACAAGCCCGCACCAGCGCCAGCATCAGCAACAGCACAGACATCCAGAGATGAGATAACCGGCCAGAGCGCTCTACCTAGTGCGTGGTGAAACCAGAGCGTTGTCGAATTCACTCAGTGGCTTACATATCACAGTCACACGAATAAAGAAAATAATCCATCTCGATGAGGATATCGTACAATGCTCCGGCAATGCTACGTTCGTTGTCGCAAAAGCTACAGTTTGCCTCCCCTTTTGGCCTTCTAGATTCTAAGCCTCATGCCGAGCAAGATTTGCTAATTCTGCCCTCTATCTATTTAGGAAATGTTCATCCAATACCTCGCGCAACAGGGGCATAACGTCGTTAAATCTGAACGAAAACCGCGTAAGGTTATTCAATACAAAGATCTAGGTTCGTCGCGAATCATAGGATTGAAGAAGCGAGCCAATCGCTGACGAATATGACACAGCTACCGCCGTTTCACGAATCGATAATCTGGAGTTCCTTGCCGACGTGATACCCAAAACAACTACGTATAAACAATTCAAAGAGAAGAAAGCAAAAGAAGCCAGCAAAGACGCTGCGTTCGAGAAGGGACAGCGCACATTGAACGGCACAATACCGTCGATGATTAAAGAAAATGGCGAGAGTGGTTACCAGAAAGCGGATAAGCTTTCTATAAGCCCTCGAGCTCCGTCTCTCAGTACGTTGATGGTTGACCGCACCGTCGAGGCGCAACCAGGAGAAAACGACCGTGACGTCGAAATGGTAGACCAGTGATCGAACCAGGCGCAAGGCCTTGTATAACTTGAGCTACTCGGTAAACGTGTTTGTTCTTTTGGGTTTGGGTATTATTATTGAGGATCGCATGTTTGGGTTTGGTTATGCACGGAACGGAAACGGATCGAGGGCAAGATCCTGTTGGTCAGTTGCTTTTTGACGCGGGAATCATTTATACCTCAGGTTAGCATAGCGAGAACATATGAGAATTATGATGAAATCATATTGAATAGACCAATTATTATTATAATAGAATAGAGTCTGGAAGAATAGCATTCTAAGTAGACCTAAAGATGGCAACTGCTTGAAGAACGTTTGGCGGCCGGAATTGTCGTGGGCTCCAGCCAATGAGGCGCCCCGTGATTCCGATCGCTTGTCGTAGAAAGCTCTTTCGACCCGTATGCCGGGCCTCCGTTCAACCTCATCGAATTCCTCCCGTCCTATTATTCAATTGCTCTCTTTCCCCCTCAACTCTTCCCCCCCTCCACCCACCTCCCCGCAATTCATTGCGATTGCTAGTCTCATCATGTCGCTTTCCTCCGCCTCGAGCACTCTGCTGCGCGCTTGCGCCCGCCAACAGCTGCCCACCAGCCGCGCTGCCGTCGCCTCCTGCCAACAACGGAGAGGATTGTCCGAGGCCTCCAAGTCCTCCTCCTTCGATAGCCCTTTCGGCAGCTCCAACGACTACCAGTCGACCCTGAAGATCCCCAGTTTCAGCAAATACGCTTCCAACAAGCCTCCCCGCTCGAACCAGGTTTTCTCCTACTTCATGGCCGGAGCCCTCGGTCTCGGATCTGCTGTTGGTGCCAAGGCTACTGTTCAGGGTAGGTGTTATCAGGCAATTCACGACAAGAGATGGAATTGAACGAAAGGATTGAATGTCGCTTTGGAATACAATTGCGGGAGATTCGGCAGTTTGGGTCTTTTGGTATCACATGGAGCACGTTGCTGATATGCAATTTTTACCATCAGACTTCCTCGTGAACATGTCCGCCTCCGCCGACGTCCTGGCTCAGGCCAAGGTTGAGATCGGTCTTGCTTCGATCCCCGAGGGCAAGAACGTACGTGTCCCGTTTATCCGTGAAGCATCACGCGCACTTCGCTACTCCGAGCGCTTATACTGACCTACGAATCCACAGGTCATCATTAAGTGGCGTGGAAAGCCCGTTTTCATCCGTCACCGTACCCAGGACGAAATTCAGGAGGCTCAGCAGTATGACTGGAAGACTCTCCGTGATCCTCAGCCCGATGAGGACCGTGTCCAGAAGCCCGAGTGGCTGGTCATGCTTGGTATGTTGTCACGCCATCTGTTTCTGCTATATTCTTTGGACGGTTACTGATAGCGAATTTTTCTATTGTGAAGGTGTCTGCACTCACCTTGGTTGTGTCCCCATTGGTGAATCCGGTGACTACGGCGGCTGGTTCTGCCCCTGCCACGGTTCCCACTATGATATCTCCGGCCGTGTCCGGAAGGGTCCTGCCCCTTTGAACCTCGAGGTTCCCCAGTACAGCTTCCCCGACGAGAGCACCCTTGTCATTGGTTAAACATCTCTTCTTTGGGTGTCGCCAAATGTTCTAGACCAAAGAGAGACGAAGAAGAGGGGAGTGTTTGTGCTTTAGACGGTTAGCTTTGTTGCGTTTGTCAAGATTGAAGAGACCGTGTTTTAATATGGACCCAAAAATGAGCTCTTGTACCATCTTTCAACATGCGCTGCTCAGGCCCCTGTATCACTCACTTGTCTGTGAAATTCTTGTCTTTCAGTATAGACTTTCCTCGTTCTGAGACCTTGCCTCACGCGCATGCGGGTCAAAAGCGAGTTGTCGGTTCCTCTTACTTGTGGCAGCTGATGAAGCAGTTGGAAGTTGAGGTTGATCTGCAGTAAGAGGTGGTGGACTTCAGATGTAGATCTGTTGAGCGTTGGTTCGAGTACATGTATGTCATAGTTCAGTTTACGTATATTCATCGTTCAATCTCCTTTGTCTTTTTTGTTCATTGGATCTGGTAATCTCTACTGCTAAGGTATCCTCGAAGTACTTCGCCGAGCTGACTCGGCAACTCAACCTGACTGCGCCAGCTGTACAATAATATACAAGTTGAATTTCCCTACTCAGTCATCTATCCTCTATTCCATTTCTGTACAAGGTTCAAGATACAAGTCGACGTTCCAGGTAAACTAGTTACGAGGGATCCGATGTATGTAATAGGCCAATCATCGGGGCCGAATCAAAGCAATCACTAGACCCATGATCGCTGCACCCGCAGCAGCGCTCTGAAGAGCGACAGTGGTCAGATCTCGCTGTGTAATGGCCATACTGCGATCGCTGAATAGCTCATTGAGAGTTTGTCGCCATGAGTCAAGGGAGGTAGGAGGAAGAGGAGGAAGAATGCGGGAGAGGTGAGATTTGCGGGGTTCGACGACATTGACCATAGCGTGCTTGGGAGCGCTGTCCTCTGTCGTTTCTGTTGCGGTTTCATGGGTTATGTTTGTGGCGATGGTGGGTGTAGGATCGGAGTCCCAGACAACAGGTTCGGATGTGATAGCTTCATCCGTGGCGGCTGGGGTGTTTTCATCGCTGGTTGGAGTGACTTCAGAGGTTGTTGAAGTAGTTGTTTGCTCCGCTGCTTCCTCCGAGGAGGGCGACGTCGATGTAAGAGCAGGTTGAGGTTTCAATATCTCGATATGGTTGATGGCTTTCTCCTTCTCGATAGCCTCGATGACCTTCTCTTCGAAGCCCTTCACGAGTCGTTTGCGACGCCATGGCTCGACGGCAATTTGGAAGATAAGGAAGAGGAGAACGTTAACGCCCATCAGACCCCAAGTACCCCATGTACTCATTCGACGAATCTTATCCGACCAGACTTGTTCCTCGTGATAGCGCGAGAGGATGCTCTTGCTCAATTGCGCGGCCGCCTCTTCGGACTCTCGTTCCGCGGCAGACAGGGCATCCTGGGTCTCCATCTCAGCCACTTCGTTGGTGTGATCGTTGCGGTAAAGGTGGGTGAATCTCTCGAGATCTGCGGCAGACCAGGCGTGTTTCCGCTGGAGAAGCTCGTTGACTTCGCGCTGCGAGGCAGAGCGTCGGTTTATTGCTGCCGCGTAGGCATCTTTGGCTTCTCGGACCCGTTGACGGGCTGCTCGGAGTCGTTCCTCTGTTGGTCCAAAGATTAGCGAGGAGGAATTGGAAGCTCCAATCATTTTCGAAACACACCTTGCAATTGTATGTCTTTCTTGAGTGCCTCAATGGCAGAGTAGCCTGTCAGATCGTTTAATCGCTGGCCCGCCACGAAAACGTTGGATTGGAGGTTGTCCATCATCTCGGTAAATTGTTTGGACAATTGTGACCGGCGTTCTTCCAGATACGAAGGTAGTCCCTTCTTCTCTGCTGGTTCACGCTTCGGTTCGTTCTTTGCATCTTGGTCGAACCCTTGTAAAGTCTCCTGTTCTCCTGCGGCCGGAGAAGGCCGTTGGGTTTCTGCATCCGGCTCTACCTTTGGCGATTCATCGCCGGGCGTCGGCGTTGAGTTTGCATCCTTTGACTGCTGAGTAGCTGCGTCGTCTTTTGATGTGCCTTTCTCAGGAGATGAATATAATGGTGATTGCGCCCTGAATTGACATCGTACACAGACCGATAAGCTCCGCTGTATATCTCGCGCAGGTCGAATGTTCGGCCCAGCGGCGGGTAAAAACTGTGGCCGTATCGAGAGCGAAGTCCTCGCAAAGTTAGCAGATGACCTAAGCGACTGCCTCAGAAGCAGTGGCATGGGCTGCATGGCCAATTAATGGTAACCTTGAATCCAAGCAAGTTCTTGTTGGATTGTTGTGGTGGAAACTCAATGTCTTGAGCTGACCTTGGATCGGAACAAAAGGCGGAACGGAGAACATGCGGGAAAGGCTCCGATCTGTCACTACTACCTCTCTAAATGTACCAAGAATGATATTGCAATTGATATACCTCTGTAATGTTATAATATTATGATGGAATGGTACAATTCTTATAAAGAATACATGTTCTTGAGTGCATCAATCCTCGTCCTCTCTCAAATAAACTGTGCAAGTAGGCTGTGTAACATAGACGACGATGTAATATTATATTTTTCTTCCTGTTCTCTCGTTTCAACGTGGTGGTATCAATTCATAACATAACAACCCTTATTCGTTAAGTCCTCATGAAGCATGACATTATAACATATCCGTCTTACTCAGACGCAGCAGAGTGCCTTGCAAGCTAGATGAAACAGAGCCCTCGACACAAACGGTCACCGTTCGGCAATAAGCTGCTCTCGTACATATTTACCAGCGTTCAATCGTGCGTCTGCACCTTGTGGTCTCCCTTGACAGCTTCAGCATAGGTTGGTGGTGCCCGGGAGTCACCCTGAGCTTGGTCACTGCTTCCTCCCTGACCTTCCTCACGATGTGGCTTGGGCGCTTGCTGCTGAGGTTGAGCAGGGCTCGGCGCCGGCTGGTTTTGCGGTGCCACAGTGCCATAACCTCTCTGGGATGGATGCTGGATGGGCTGATGAGAGACGTAATAGTATGTCACACGACCACTTTCAGTGTCCCGTCCCGGGTCGGCATGGCCAGGAATGGGCTCGTAGTTCGGGTCATCATAGTCTGGTTCGGGGTACTTGAGTATGATGTACCATGCGTGTAGAAGACCGGGGACGTAGCCTAGGCAGCAAAGTGCAAGGTTGATGATCGAGTCGGCTGTGCAGATGCCTACTTTAATCCACACTGAGAGGATATGTTAGCTGGTGCTAGAACAACATGAAGGAAACCACGTCAGAAGAACTTCTCACCTGCAACTGGTGGAAAGAAAATCGCGAGAATCCCAAGAAAGATGTCTGAACCGCACATGGTTGCGTTCGAAGAGAGAATGGGGTATTGAACTAAACGAACTGTCTGACTGTACGCAGTTTCGGATGAATGAAGAATTGCTAAAGTGTCTACACTGAGAGCAAACTGCCACAGAGAATGAGTAGTTTTACAATTAGGAGGCTCAGATAAATGTGACGACGACGGATGGTGCTCTCAATGATAAAGTAGGATGGGAGCCTGCCTCAGCCTCTGCCTCCGTCATATGACGTCGGTACATGTCACCTGATTTGCGGGACGTTCATGCCATAATTTTCAGGCTTCATATCATCTGATGGGGACATGAACCTAGTTGTCAGATTCAGCCAACAACTTTACCAATCGAGTCATTCTAGACACCTCTGACATCGCATGGAGGTCATATCACCTTGGCCATCTTCTAGGGACTTCGAAAGCCAGTTTGAAGAGCCCGACCCCCCACATTCATGCAGTCTTTGCATTTTGCGATGTATATAAACTTAAATGGCTTTGTTACGGACAAGAAATGCGACAAAGCGCGAAGAGCATATGGACAGTCAAGTAGAGGGGAGTTCTATTGGTCTTCAAGACAAATTTAATCGTTCTGTGTCTGATCTGGATATGCTCTATCGCACCAAGAGACCTCATGATCCACATCGTGAATGATTTGCATGCCGACATTGTTGTGGTGTTGCTTTACAGCCAAGCCCTAGATGAATACCCGAGCGACTTTTAAGATGGGGATCAGCCAAGCATTGACAACTCAATATGCATTGTAAATAAGGAGGACTCGCGGCAAATTCGAAACGACAGGTTAGATTGAGAAAAGCATGGAGAAATGATCCCTATTATCAATATCTGTCTCACGCTCATACTCGTAGTGCTCCCGACTTCATTATTGTCCTCATACCGACCCCCGGTAAAGAACTATAAGTATTATTTGTTCGTCCCTGATAAGTAAGGGACCTGCCCTCATCCAAGGAACACTGGGTCGGTGGGCTCTCCCGTGTTCCACAACGAATCGAGGTCGAACAACCAACCAGGAAACATCAAAATATGATCTCTATATCAAAATTGAGATAACGTAAGGGTTGGCGACCTTAAAACACCATATGAAAATGACAGTAATGGATGATGTGAGCTGTCTTGATAGCAGATGGCCTCCCAAACCCCAAGTGTACACTGAGAAGGCCTGCCACGTCAATTGACAACATCGAAGCTTCATTGTACCTGGGTTTGTTCGAGTACCAAGTATTATTAATGTAGCACTGTCGCACTCGGGCAGTTTACCTGTTGCACTCGCTCCCTAAGGTAGCTGTCTTAAAGTGCTTTTCTTTTGCATCGAATATTTACCTACTACTTCCGTATAAGATGAGCACCAGTGGATCTCGACCCTTATTATTAGTTATTGTTTCTCACGTACGGATTCTAACAGCTTCCGGCACCGCAAACCGCAAATCGCCAAGGTCAGTTTAGTTCTAGCCTCGTTTTAGTGGAGTCTGTTTAATTACCTATCACAAACTTTCGAGGCTAAAGTGACCGGCAATGTGCAGCAGGACTACCAAAGTTATTGTGCCGTACCTGACTATCTATCTATCTATCTACTGGCTAAGCGGCCGTTACCCCCTTTTATTATTGTTCTTCTTCTGCGTCGCGCCTCGGATGCAGAGTGCCCTCTGCAGACTGCGAATCTGCGATATCGAGTCGACTTGGGGTTCGAGACCTTACTTTGACCCTTGAAACTTTGAAAAGCTTTTCTGTGATCTGTGCTACAAAGTCCTGTCTTCCAGATATCTTATATTATAATTGAAATAAGCCCGTCCTCTCGTTTTCCACGTCCGTTTCGGAGCGCCCAAACCGTTTGTTACTCTCTCTTTTTGACGCTACTCATCCTTAGGGCCAATACTCTCCCGGTTGTTTTCTTTCCGACCCATTTTCTCTCTCCTCTGACTCTTTTTTGTCCCATCTTTGGTACGCCGTTTTTCGCGGACGTCTCAGTCCTTATTTTCCTCGGAACCCAAGTCACTCGTTCGCCGTCACTTTTGCACCACTGTTCGTCGCCATTCATCAACACTCTTTTCCGTCAATTCCTCCAGGTTGAAGCGTTGCGTCTCCCGTCTCAGTTGACTTCTCGCAATTTCCCGCCAATTGAGTTGTGATAATCATTCCGAGGAGGAGACAACACCATGAGAACCGAGTTCGGTTACTTCGCTTGATAACGCATTTGAAATTCGGCATTGTCTACATCCGCACTGCTCAACTTCATTTTCATTCTTCGTGGTTACCCTGTGCGGCCAGGAGCGAGATGGCAGGCACCTGCATCTCTCTATCGGGGTCCACGCAGTGTCCTGCTTTCAATGGCTCATCCATATCAACCAGCTCGAGTCTGTACACGGATTTGTAGGCCATATTCCATGTATCCACCTGCTCGCTGCGTGCTGACCTTTTGGTAGTCCGTTCATGCAATATGTATCGAATCTGGACGATTTTGATCGAGAATTGAGCAACTACGTGAACGGCTCGTATGTCAAGCAAAAGTAAGTGCATAATCCGACCAGGGTCACTCATAGCTTCGCCTAAAGCGTCATGATCATATCTAGGTATATCGACTATCTGGGATGCCAAGGAGTCAATCTCACTCACGCGAATAACTATTATGCCCGCTATACCACAAGTACAATATGCAGCGGGCTCGTTCAAAGCTCAAAGACCTACTGCAATCTGTCTGGCCAGCAGTCAAGACCGCTTTGCGCCGACACTTGCGCCTTGATGGCCACGAGCGAGGAGGAAATCGTCGTCAATGCTGACCTTTGCCGGATAACAGGCAGTAATTATATGAGTCAAATCCGGTCAGACTTTACCATATGCTCCTTGCCTGCCGACTCACTCACTGGTACTTGCATTTCCGGCGCGGATAACGAACCCCACGAGTGCGGCTATAGGTCGAATTTGATCGGGCTATGTGGATATTGTGGAGCCAGTTCACCCAACTCGACTGATTCATGCTGTGTCAATGCGAATGCCGCGAGCCGATGCGAAGGTGTTACGATTCCCACCCCAACTGCGACTTTGCGTCCAATATTCACCTCAACGTCCAACGCGACAGCAGATGCCGGTGCTCATGACGGACTATCGGGAGGGCAAATCGCAGGCATCGTCATCGGATCTGTTGCGGGAGCCGCCCTCCTGGCAGCTCTTATCTTTTTGGTCCTCCTTTGTCTACGGCGCAGACGCAAGTCACGGGATTATAGTGCTCTTAATAAGCCCAATCCGCAACGCAAAGGGTTTCCGTCGATGCAACCGGATAAAAATCAGCAAGGCTTACCCTCGGTGCCAGGCGGACGGGTGGCCAGGATGTCTGCTCTGCGCGAGGTCCCAAGCTTGTCCCCCGCGCGCTCTCGTAACTCTCCGGCTCGCTTTGGAAGCACCAAGTACAGCGATACGTCCGACTCGGAAGGTTACGGGGCAAGCCCGGGCGCAATGTCAAAGAGAATTCCGCCGGTTACTGGACGACGCCATGGATCTCTCTCCAGCAACTCCGCCCTGGCTGGCGCATATAGTGACTCCTCGCCTCGCTCAGGAACTAATGGCCAATTTTCTTCACCCGAAGGCGTTGCGAGTGGGCAGTCGGAGCAATTGTCTTCGTTCCAAGATTATTACTCACCTGATGACATACGCCCCGGTGATAAGGTAGCTGTCCTCTGGGCCTATCAGCCGCGGGCAGGGGATGAGTTTGCCTTGGAACGCGGAGAGATGTTGAAGGTGATTGGCATTTGGGACGACGGATGGGCGACTGGCATTCGGGTGCCGGAAACTGCAGAAGATTATGACGCCAGGCACCGCGAGCAGCGTGACAGTGGTGTGTCTAATGGATCACAGAGGTTGGCTGCCTCTCCATCGCCTACTGGAGATATCAAGGCATTCCCGCTGGTCTGTGTCTGTCTTCCACAGCATTGGAGAAAGATCATCGAAGGCGGGCAGGATGAAGATGTTTCGTGATCTCCTGCCTGACTTTTTGTCTCAAAAGATTGTCACAACCTATGATTCTTTGCACCCTCCGGAGGTCTTATGCTTTCATGACACAGCTTGTCCTTCTCTCATCAGCATCGCACCCATCGGCAGGATAGGAGCGATAGACTTCCCCAGTATGGAGGAGTAGGGGTATCCTAATTAGTATGGCTCTACGCCTTCCGTCTTGTCATTCTGATGTACCAAAGACATGACGACTCCTTCCATCCGATTCCTCACTTATTTCCTTCGCTGTCGCGAGCATACAATGCAGCTACTGGACCATCATCTTATAATGGTCGCGAAGCGGTTCGACGGATGCTTGTGAAACGACTTTTTACGGTTCATATTGATATACCCCATTTTACGCCTGTGAGCTATTTCTTGTTGTTGGCCTTGATGCCTTTCTATTCTATGATAGTTCGCGTTCCCTTCTGGCTCCTCTCAGACCTGTCGCAAGATCAGGTAGCTGTGGGTTGAGCACGATTGTTGACCATCTCAATACATATTTATAGATGTACATAAGAACCCTTTTCGCGTCTGCCTTGTGGCACTGCGAGCATAACATCTACAAAACCTCCAATTTATCTGATCAAATTAGACGCAAAAGTCCACAGTTACCCCAGGCTTAAGGTTTGCTCATCGTACTAACTCCGTATCAGAGCTAAATCTGGGAAATTTATGAAGTCGTCTTCGATTGTGACACAAAGACCACAACTGTAAGCCATCTGTGGATTAACTGACGTTATATATGGCTCGCTAGGGGCTAGTCGTCGTCAGGTCCCATGGTTGAGTTCCATCAATGGATGGTAATATGGAGCTATGATGTAGGCAGATCCGATTGCTGTGATATGGCAACGTTGTCTTAAAGATAGTAAACGTGATAACTATGTTGCCTGGCTGTATACAATTGTTCAGGCCTTCTATATCAGAGTATGGATGGGTGTATAGAGCTATAAAGAATATATAATCTATTTGTCAACACACAGGCAGCAAAGTAATGATACGGATATAAG